TTCTCCACTAGGTGGAAACATAGTGCTAAGCAATGCTCCTGAGAGTCTGGTAAACTACAGAAAGTTCTCTTTGCAGGCTCTTCACTGTACGGTTTTCTTGAAAGGATGGTAGAAGTAAAGCACAGATTTAATGTTTTCAGAATGAGAGAAACTTACTCGTGCTGCTAAAAAGTATCCTTAAAAATTACCCTTGAAATAAAAGCAAATACAAGCTATATCTATTCTCAGTAATTGATGACTGTAAGCCAGACAACTCCTATTGTTTATAGGTAGTTTTACTCTTGGCTTTAAAGATACATTTACATGAAGAACTTGCATAGGAATGTGACTTTTGGTAATTTAATTCTTTACAGGTAATGTTTCTTACTCAATAACATTAGTGTTCACTTTAATCAGAAGTACTCCTTTTTCAAGTGGATCTAGTGGATTTCTAGTGGAGCTAAACTTAAGAAGAAACGTACATCTTCAACTACTTAAATCCTATCTTACAGCATAGTGTACTAATTTTGTGACTTACAGTACAAGAAACATCAGAGTTCCTTTTACTTCTCATTGATAGCAAAGAAGCTTTAGATCAGGACTGTAGTTTGTGAAGACCTGATTTAGTTTCAGAACAGTACAGTAGACATGTTTAGCTAGAAAAGTCTGCTTACTTGTGCTTTCTTTCAGATCAAAAGCTTACTGGTTTTGTGTGTGTGTGTGTGTGTGTGTGTGTGTGTCCTGACTATCTTGCTGTTGACTGGAAGTTGTATGACAGCAGTATCAGACAGTTTCCACCAAATGAGAATTATTTCAGCATAGTTGTGTACCACATTCTCTTATTTTTCACTGAACTCAACCTGAAGGAAATCATTCCATTTGCCAGAAGGACCTTTGTTGCCACCTGAGTTGCAAGATGTCAGAGAAGCAGGAAGATGAAATTTCATGTACTAGGTGCCTTTGATAGACACGTTGTTGAAAGAAAGTATTATTTGCAGGTAATAGTTTTCTATTTGGACAGCAGGAAGGTTGGAATATTCTATTTACAGACCCTTTGTATTTGTCCCATTTTTGATTGAGGAGGTTCAAGAAGAGGCATTTTTAGGCCTCTTTCAAAATGACTTTATGAGACATGTTAACATGAATGATGTTGATTTCATTTTTCTGTTTATATTATGATAATATCATTGTCATGAAAGTCAAGACCCTGAATTGATCTTTGCTCTAACATGTTAAGGTTTCTCTTGTATGTTTATGAAAGGGAGAGAAGATGTTAGAGTTCTCACTGACTTCATATGGATGCTCTTCTCACAGGAGAGAGATACTTTCTGCTGTGGATTTTACCACTGTGCTAATGTTATTTTCTAATGCATAATTATCTTTCAAAATGAAGAAACTAAATATGGATATAATGTTTATATCCACATGGCTTGTCAGCATAGTGGTTATTTTAAGTTTTTCTGCTAGGCTTCTTTTTTTTAATGTGTTAGATTTTTGTACCTTTCTTACTATCTTTTTGTATGTTTTCTTACTATCAACTTACAGCTCTTGTTTTGTGAAAGCTGACTGATATTTTTGCTTTTCTGTATCCTCTTCTGCACAGATACGCATGCCTGAAGTGTAGGAGCATAGAACTGAGCTTGTGTTGGTAGCCGGCAGTGACCACACAGACCAAGTTTGCCATGTTCTCCCTCAGCAGCATGTTTGGCACTAACTACATCTTTCTACAAGTCTTGTACAGTGGTGTGCAGCTGGCCCCTGGGGAATTTGAGGTAATAAGATACCCTTTGGAGTTGTCAGTCATGTAGTATGAATGATTAAAAAGGCACTGCAAGACATGGAATTTAGGGCCCTCCATTTCAGTAAGTAGCTCAAGTTCAAGGCAGCTTTGTTTGTCTGGTTTTGCTAGTTGAATTTGTATAGCCTCTTGATCAATCCAAATCCCTCAACCCCTCACTGAATAACTGGAACTCTTACGGACTGATAGAAAATTCACAGATCAGCCCGTATGTCCACCTAGGTCTCTTAGAATAAAATCTTTCCCAAGACAGAAATATTGTATGGTTTCTATTTAGGCATAGTAACTCCGTATGAGTGATTCATACACATTGCATTCACACAGATTGCTATGTCTTTTTTCTAAGACATCTTTCAAACAGGTCAACATTAACAAGTATATTATTTTGTGTTTGTCATACAATAATACTGCTTAGTTGATGTTCCTTTTTTCTTTACTTTTCCGTAACTAGATGCTAACTGATGGACCTCTGATACGCTGGTCTGGTACGTCCTAGCCAGTTTTGAATGTAGTGCTCATTGGGAGATGGTATGAAAAGGACTCTCTGCATGCTCCAAGCTTCACCACGATATCACTGCAGACGCTCTTAAGATTCTGCTTGTTTCTCTGGCACTAACTATAATATTAATTGATTATAATTAATGCCTATACACATAATTATAATGGAAATTATTTCTTAAATTGCCCTAACAACATAGTCATCGCACATTGATTTGTGTGCTTAATCTTGCAACAAAATGAATTACTCTGCTGTGCCTGTTTTTGTATGATAGTTTAGAATTGTCATAGACTTGACCTTGATCCCACTGGGGGAAGTAAATCCCGTTGACTTCAGTAGCATGAAATCCAGACCCAGAATAGAGGATACTGGCCCAATAACAAAAGATTTTTAACTATCTGAATTATTTTAGGGAGATGTATCAAAGTCAGTTCCACAACACTGTTCAGCCACATATCTGAGCAAGCCCCTTCCTAAACCAGATAAGAGTAATGAAAACTTTGAAGGCAGGTGGCTGAACTTTTAAGTTATCATCTACTTGTAAAAAGAAAACAAGAATGTTGCTTCAAAATCAGATAGTCAGCTCAGCACTGTGTAATATGTTGGCATGCTATGCCATAAATTGCAGTTGTGGGAGGCTACTTGATCTTCCTGGATACAGTTTTACAATGTGGAAAATTTCTGTTCCACAAAACTATTGATAGTTATCACCTTTTCTAAGCAGTTAGGTGGAGCTATAATAAAAATCCTGAAAAGGAGCAATTTCACAGGGTGTTTCAGTCTCCCAGATGAAATGGTTGCTGATACTGATGTGTCAAGGCTGCATGCAGGTAGTGGCACAAGCTAGCAGCATGAACAGATGCACTTACCCATGTGTAGGCCAAGAGGGTGCACTGGATTACTTTGTGTGTACTGGCTAAGATTTTTATATGATGTAAACTCTACAGCTTATTTTTCAGGTTTGTTTTTGGAAGAAAAAAAAGAAAGAAAACAACATTGTTCGCATTTAATCTGTTCAAAATAATAATAAAAAAAAATTAGACTTGCAGGCGTAAAATGCTTTGCGTTTGAATAAAATGATGTGGTAAAAGTAAGATTTTACTTTGTAGCTGTATTAAATAGTAACCGTGTGCAATTGATATAGTGGAGGTGGAAAACACACTGCTTGTTATGAAAAGGTACAGCGTCTCAGCATGTGTATCTCTGCCACAGGACGTGGTATCCTGTTTCAGAGCCGCACCACAACTATGTGCAGTGGTTAACATAGGAGGGGCTACTGAGCTCACTCAGCCTGTTCCTGCCGCTCTGCAGTGATTTCCTGGTTGAAGGAATATTCGTTCTTGCAAGTTTTTTTCACAGAACAATTAACTTTTCAAATGAAGAGTCATTTTCCAAGCAGTTTCTCTTAGTTCAAGAAAAGGAGCAGGACTGTGTTGTGAAGGCAGACTGTCTCTACAGCTGAACTGATTTGGCACCAAATTGTGTTCTCTCTCTTAAAGGTAAGTAATCATGTAAATTCTCTCCTCATGTAGTAGCAGGAATTGGGGAAAGGGGGAGAACAGAGGTGTGAAAAATAGAGGGAATTCCAGTATAACCATCTTCTTGCACTGCTTGTGGCCATTTATAGCCTGAACTGCTGTAGTTTTACAGGATTTGACTCGGTACATTTTATGTTGTTTATTTTCTTAACCTGATTATTTCCTTCTTCCTGGGTGAGCTCCCAGTTCTGCCGGCAGTTGACGGTGGTGCCAGCTGGCACAGCACCAGACACTCAGCCTTCCTGCAGAAACCTCATCCTGGCAGGGTGACTTCAGCCTTGCAGGCCAGTGCGCACCCTGCTAGGGTGGTCATCTGTGTGGGTTGAATGTTTTCTTGGCTCTTGCTAAACAGGGGAGCATTTTCCACTTCCTCCTTAGACTTAGGGCTAATTGTGGCTATTGTGACACAATCTGTATTTCCTTTTATAACAACAACGAAAAAGCCTTCCGAACTACATTACTTTGCTTATCACTAAAATCTCTGTTGCTACCCTTCAGGGGCTTATATTCAAAGTTCCTGAATGAGCATGTTGTATCTGACATTGTACCGGGAGAAGTATGTAGTGATGAACGTCAGCAGATGTGCATTGATGTTCCTAATGCTTGAAAGCACTTGTTCACTGTCTCTCTGTGGTGCTTGCATTCACCCAGAGCATTTCTGTCTTTCCTGAGATGCCTCTGCAATGGTGGCAGGCACCTTGTTCTGCTTTCCACTCAGCAAACCTTTCTGTTAAGTAATCATTTCCAAATGAAAATGCTGCAACTATTAGAATGTAAAAAAAATGTTATGCGGAAAGACATTTGAACTGAAGTTAAAAATTAAAAAGGAAGCACTCTGATCAATAAACAGAATGTTGTTGGAGGTAGGAAGGGTGAATTGTGGAACACGTGTGCTGCAGGGCCTGGTGATCTGTGCAGGCTTCTGTGTATAAGGCTTAAGCCAATGTAAATGGCAGAAGTGCATTGTAATCAGTGACAGAAACAATGCAAGAGAAAATTTGGATGCCTTTTTCTAGTCATATGCTTAATAACTTACTTAAACTTTGGCATTATTACACTTGGCTCTACCCACTGTTTTGTGACTGCCTGTGTCCTCTGCCAGCTTTTATTCTGAGTTGCAACATCCTCACCTTATGAAGTTGAACTTTACTGTATATCACCAGAGACGCTTGATTCCAAGGTACTGCTTTAACAGGCCAGCACTTCTTCCCTCCCATGTTAAACTTTGACCTCTTTTATTTTCTGTGTATGTTCCCTCTTCATTTCTCTGTGACTCAGAGTATTCAAGAAACTGCAAGGCAGCAGCCATGGCCCCTTCCCAGATCCTGGTGTGTGCTGCAGTGCTTGCCCTGGCAGTCCTGCAGGCCCTGGCCTTGGACACCTTCATTGCAGCCGTGTATGAGCACGCCGTCATCCTGCCACGCACCATTCACAAGGTTTCTCCCGATGATGCTTTGGCCCTGATGAACAGAAACATGGATGTTCTGGAAGGAGCTATCAAGGAAGCAGCGCAGCAGGTATGAAATGGATTGTTAGTGTTGTTAATTGGTGTTTTCTGTTCCCTCTGACTGTCCCAGGGGTGCCTTGATGGTGCCTTCTTAATGGAGCCTGTTGTGCCAGGGTGCCCGCATCATTGTGACTCCCGAGGATGGCATTTATGGCTGGGTTTTCACGAGGGACACCATTTACCCCTACCTGGAGGATATTCCTGATCCAGAGGTGAACTGGATTCCCTGCACTGATCCCACAAGGTGATTCTTTCTGTGGTGTTTGTGTGGTTTCAAACTGGTGGACTTGTGGAGTCATGAGCTCCCAACAAATGTCTGAGCACAACTAATGCATTTTACATCAGGGTACATTTCTATTTCATATTTTAGTATGATCTGAAGTTTTATTGCATCATAAAATTGACAAGAGAAAAAAAGATACTTTTTGAAATAGGTACCTTAAAGAGAAATTCCGACCACATACAGAATTCAGGTTGCTGAATGTGGCAAAAATATATGGGTTTTGTTGCATTTGGAAAAGATTTGATGCTACAGTAGGCTAATTCTCATCCTGGTTTTATTATTTTCATGCTGTCTTGAGTTGAACTGTTTGGAAATCTGTAGTACTAGGCTTTTATTTGTTTTGTCTATTTGTTTATTGTTGGTTTGGGTTTTTACAAATGTTATGACCATATAGGAGCCCGCATACAGTTTTTGTGAAAAGCCAAAAGCTTTCTGAAAAGCTTGTGACAGAGGTGATGAGATCACTGGTCAAAGTACGAATCTGTGAGTGATACAAACCCAGAATGTTTTAGTCTCTTTTTTTCCACAGCTGCGATAAGACAAGGTCCTGATTGATAGATCTTTTGTGCTGTAGAACATGATCTTTCCTTGTTCCACCAGGGACATGGTTATGTGTAGGTGAGCACTGCACTTCAGAACCATCCAGTGTGAGCTAAGTGCTCAGCTGTAGAACTACAGACGTGGTCTGACTCTTGCACCACAGTGTTCTGCACCTACCCAAAGAGGAGGTGCTAAGACCATAATACGACCTCGGTGAGGACGTTCCTCAGTGGTTAAAAGAGGAATATTTGCATTGAGTGATGTGTGCTGAGAGAAGTGCAGGATGTGCAGCTTCTTGCTGGGACATAAACAACTGAAATATAAGGAGTCTTTTTCAATGACTGTGGTGTTGGGTGATGGCAACAAGTCTAAGCACATCTTTACTCCAGTTCTTTACACAGTTAAGTTTTGTGAAGGTGATTTGTATCTCTTCATTGTCTTAAGTCAGGATTTTCATTACCAGCCTTGCTGGACTGTAGTGCCTGCCATCACAGTCTTTCAGTGCCCTATTCCTCTGTGCTATCTATGTATCTGGCATGACAATCCTCCTGTACAGCCACCCTTTATGTTTGCCTGTCCTGCCATGACAGCTGGGACAGAGGTGCTGCCTTTGTGCCCTCAGTGCTCCTATGATGGACACCACTGGCACTATGTATTTTCTTAAGTATTTTTTTTCTGGTCTGAAACGTGTTAGATTTGGTCGAGCACCAGTGCAGGAACGACTCAGCTGCATGGCCAGGAACAACTCCATCTATGTAGTTGCAAATATCGGGGACAAGAAGCCATGTAATTCCAGTGATCCCAAGTGCCCGAGTGACGGTCGCTACCAGTACAACACTGACGTTGTCTTTGACTCAGAAGGGAAACTGGTGGCTCGTTACCACAAGGTAAGAAGTGGCCTGCCAAACCTTCCAAAATGTCTCTATTTGACAAAGCAGTTTAATGCCAGTAATTGTCCCATGACACAGACTTATCTCCTATGAATTTTTGCTTTTAACTCAATAGAATCTTTCTGCTGCTGTGAAGTGTTGACACTGTTTGTATTTGCTGTCCTGTTTCTAAAAACAGACTAGAATGAAAACTGAGTGATTGCATAGTTCCCATGTTAGTTGATTCACTGCGTCAGTTTGTTAACTGCTATTTAGTGAAAACCCTGCTGCTTGAACAGCTCTAGTTTTCAGTGCCAGCTTTTCACCAGATTACTCCTTCATTTCCAGCATTTTAAAATGTTCATTTGCATGCCATCTTATGTGCACAGTCTGATTTAAGGAAAAAAAGCCCTTTCCTATTATTTTTTTTGACGTGATGTTTAAGCACATTTTCAGCACAGTTTTTGTATAACTGGAATTATAAACCTGTGCTGAATGTAAAACGAGAGACTACCCTGAATCATGTGCACCTCATGAAAGCATATGTTTTCAGTTCCATGTACTTTCTTATGAGGTTCTTCTAAGTTGTTTGGGGGCAGGGTGCCAGATATCATGCTGCTGTGGCTAGACTGAAGTCAGTTGTTTACTTAATATTCTTTGAACCCAGTACATCAACTAATTCTTTGCAGGCAATGCCAAGATACTTGCTTATGAGCATACTGGGTCAGAGAGACACTGCCAATACTGAGGCTGAACCCTGTGTGCCAGCTAGGCATAGTTCAGGAGCTAAGTGCCAAGTTCAGTAAATTTGAACTCACTTTCTGGCTCGTTTACCTGTGTTCATTCTCTAAGTTGCTTGTATATTAAAGGGCTCCCTTATTTAAGAGGAACCCAAAGGACGAATGAAAATGTTGCAGAGCTGAAAGGGTCATACACTTGGATTCTTCTGTCAGTTGAGATCATACACCTCTTCACTGTCACCACAGCCTCTATCTTCTCTGTTTTTTGCTGTGCCTGTCTTGTGCTTCCTCTTGATACTGCTGTGCTTCCTGTTCATACATGCATCTCCACATCGAGATCACCAACCCACCAGTTGCTCTGAGATTCTCTTCTATTATTATTTCTCTGAAGCGTGTCTTTGGATTCAGCAGTATTTAAAACGTAGGTGAAGAGGGTGAAGAGATTATTTTTATGGGAGCTCGTGGGTGGCTGACACGTACAGAGTAGCAGATAGCCAGATTTTTTTCTAGTTAGGTGCCAAGGCAATATATATTTCCCCATATCCATCTTTGGGGCACTATGGTGATCGTTGTATTCCAGCTTGACTTCCTACATGTGAAGCATTCTATCATTGATTAAAAACTTTCTCTGGTCATTCTGAACAGTTTTGCAAAATGACTCCAAGTTTCTGCATCAGGTACCTTTAACTGGTTTCTCTTACTATTCTTTCCCTTGCAGTATAATCTGTTTATGTCAGAAGCAAATCATTTTAATTACCCAAAAGAGCCAGAAGTCATCACCTTTGAGACTCCCTTTGGGAAGTTTGGCATTTTCACTTGCTTTGACATCCTTTTCCGGGAGCCCGCCGTGGTGCTGGTGAGCGAGCTACAGGTGGACACAGTGCTTTTCCCAACAGCCTGGATGAATGTCTTGCCCTTCCTGACTGCTGTGGAGTTTCACTCTGCATGGGCTATGGGCATGGGAGTCAACTTCCTAGCTTCCAATACTCACAACACCATCATGTCTATGACAGGTAATTAATTTTAATTCCTTTGAAAAATCTTTTTAATTATGAATCTTAATTCCCTGTTCTGCAAAGAACATAATGCAAAGGAATATTATGTGTTTATTTGGAAGGATTTAGTCTCTGAATTTTAAACTTTGTAAACTCTTTCCCTTCCGCTCCATATAAGACCCAACCAAACTTGTGATGCTTTCTTTTCTTTTCCTTAGCTTCCTGGGAGTTCTCTTTCTTTCTTTGTTTCCAAACAAATTGTGAAGTACTACCACTTCTACCTGAGTTCCTCAGTGATTAGCATTACAGATTTTCTTTGATTTTTCTCCATCACTTAGGACTCGTCAGATGTGAATTTTCCATGTATGGAGGAGTCTTCATCTGGTATAAACTGGGCTGGACAGATGCTATCCCTTTTGGTGCTCATCAGAATGGGCTTATGATATTGGTCTATATGGTGTTTTGAGTGGTTTCACTCAGTGGTTAATCTTTTTACATCAACTTGCCAAGAATGAAGGAATGTTCAGGTGACTCTGCTGCATGCAGAAGAGAACTGAGGGGTGCTAAATGCAGTATCATAAGGTGACACTCTGCCTTTCAGCTACATCAGACAGACCCCATGCAGTGAAACAAATGCTACCTTTTTCCAAAGTCTGATCTCTGACTACTGAGTGGCTAATGGTTACATTTAGCGAGAATTCTGTAACGTTTATACAATACTGGACAAACTAGCAATGAAAATAATTGAAAGAGCAATATGAAATGTTTGAACTATTTTAGATTAAAAATTCCACTCTCCACAGGGAGCGGTATTTATGCACCAGATGGAGCCAGAGCATATTACTACAATATGAAAACTGAGGATGGGCATCTCCTCATTGCTGAACTGGATTCACACCCTCGCCTTTCTACTGCCTTCCCTCCTGCTGTCAGCTGGAGCTCATATGCTTCAAATGTAGGAAGCTGCTTACCAGATGAAAATGATTTCAGCGGACTTATCTTTCATGATCGGTTCACTTTCACTGAGCTCTCTAAGCCTGAGGGGAATGTCACCGTTTGCCAGAAAGACCTCCGCTGCCACTTGAGCTACAAGATGGCAGAGAAACAAGAAGATGAAGTTTACGTGCTGGGTGCTTTCGATGGGCTTCATGTTGTTGAAGGACAGTACTATCTGCAGGTAATAATTCTTTGAGGCATCACTAGTCCTATTTCACTTTTCTTCATAGTGTCCATAAACATCGATTAGCTTTAAGGTGGAGAACTAACTGTAAGGACAAAAGGAAAGCATTAACCTTTCTTACTTTACTTTCTGTGCTGCAGCTGCTAATACAAAACTGTGACAAAGGATGCTGACTTCACTACATGGTCATATATTACAGAATCATGGAATGGTTGAGATTGAAAGGTACCTCTGAAGGTCACCTGGTCTTAGCCCCCTGCTCAAGCATGGCTGTTTGGAGGAGGTTGCCCAGGAGCATATCATAGAACCATAGGATCATCGAATATCTCAAGCTGGAAGGGGCCCACCAGGAATCACTGAGTCCAACTCCTGGCTCCACACAGAACCACCCAAAATTCAAACTCAATGGCTGAGAGCATTTTCCAAATGCTGCTTGAACTCTGGCAGCTTGGGGCCATCACCAGTGCCCTGGGGAGCCTGTGCCAGTACTCAACTGCTCTCTAAGTGAAGAACTTTTTCTCAGCCTGACCCTCCCCTGACTCAGCTTCATAATATCCCCTCGAGTTCTACCATTGTCACCAGAGAGCAGAGATCAGTGCCTGTCTCTCCTCTCCCTTTGTTGAGGAAGCTGTTGGCTACCACAAATTCTCATTTTCCTCTTCTCTTATTTGAAGATGTCCAGCTGGTTTTGAAGATCTCTAAAGAGGTGTAGACTCCACAACCTCCTTGGGCATCCTGTTCCAGTACTCCATCACCTGTACAGTAAAGAAGTTCTTATTGATGTTCTGATGCAACCTCTTATGTTCTAGCTTGTACCCATTGCCTCTTTTCCTGGCACTGGACACCACTGAAGAGGCTTAATCCATATTCTTTGCACTTTCTTTTATTTATAGACATTGATGAGATTTCCCTTGAGCTTCCTCTTGTCCAGGATGACCAATTCCAGTTCTCTCAGCCTTTCATCATAGGAGGGTTCCTTCAGTCCTTTCATCATCTTGATGACCCTACATTGAATTCTTCACAGCACATCTAGGTCTCCTGCACTGGTGGGCCCAAAAGTAGACATGTGATTCAATGCGATTCTCCAGTATTCAACAGAAGCTGGATGGAGAATATCTAATTCAGAATTCCCATGGACTACAAGCCCTCCTACTGAAGTATCATTAGCAACACGTACACCTACCATTAATGTGTGCAGTTGCACAGTGTACCTTTGAGGAGGAGGGCTTTGTTTCATTTGTACAAAATTTCCATTCACAAACTTGTTAAGTGTTATTAAGACTTGTGAGAAGGGAATATTTAAACAAGAGAATTGGAAGCTGGAAGAATTGGTGGAAGTCCCACTGGTCTGCAGGGACAAAGTAAGGTGCTCTGGCAGTGCTTACATCAGAAACTGAGGTTATTTCTAACTATTAAAGTGCAAGTCTGGTATACCTTTCAATTAGGTCAAGGGGTGAATGAATAAGCTATGGGAAGAGATTCTGTGACAGTCATCTACTCCAATGCATACCAGGTTTAATGACACAAGGCTTTCATAACTGAGTGTTTCCCTTTTGCTCAATATGTTTCCTTTTTGCCTTCCTGACAGATATGCACGCTGCTCAAATGTAAGAGCACGGACCTGAGCACGTGTGGGGAGCCAGTGGAAACTGCACAGACCAAATTTGCCATGTTCTCTCTGAGTGGCACGTTTGGCACTAACTACGTCTTTCCAGAAGTCTTGTACAGCGGTGTGCAGCTGGCCCCTGGGGAATTTGAGGTAATGGCACACTTTGGAGCTGATTCATGCTAGATTCTCTGTGGACTAATAATGGCATAAACTATGTCACAACAAAGTGAACTCTTGTAGTGATAATCAAACATATTTAATACCATTTAATGAAGTCAGTAGTTGATGTAAGTGGTATGGTCTGATGAACCTTCTTGTTTTGTGACATCTTTCTGAGCTCTTCAGCTGTTCATATTAGTATTTCTCTAACTATATTCTTCTGTTACTTTTTCCAATCAGGTATTGAAGGATGGGCGTTTGATAAGTAAGACCGCACCAACAAAGCCAGTTGTCACTGTGACGCTTTTTGGACGGTGGTATGAAAAGGATTCTCTGAAACAAGATGCACAACCGACTGCCTCCCTGTGATGTTACCATAACTGAAGGTGTACACTAACAATCCCATGTCTAAATGAGCTGCATTATTCTCTACCAAAATAATCATGATTATGTTTCTAGTGATAGGATCAGGAGGAATGGCTTCAAGCTACGGCAGGGGAGATTCAGGCTGGACATGAGGAAGTATTACTTTTCAGAAAGGGTGGTCAGGCACTGGAACGGACTGCCCAGGGAGGTAGTGGAGTCACCGACCCTGGGGGTGTTCAAGGAAAGGCTGGATGTTGTGTTGAGGGACGTGGTTTAGTAGGAGCTATTGGGAATAGGTGAACGGCTGGACTGGATGATCTTTTAGGTCTTTTCCAACCTTGGTGATTCTATGATTCTTCCTGTTGCACAAACTTTTTAATGCGTTCCAATTAATAAAAATGCAGTGACTTTATTGATACCATTTACTGAGAACTATTTCTATATTACAATATTAGTAGTCTTTTATTAATACAAATTAGCAGTTGTATTTCCCTCTGTTTTCTGTATTTTGAATTTTCTAGCCCTCAGAAAACCTATATTTTTGGCCAGAGGATAAATTCTTCTTAAAATAGCTTTGCAAATTTTATAATTGCAAATTATTTTGAGACCAATAGATAAAGCAGTAAGAAATATGATAAATGGCAGCTTTATACAAAAAAAAAGCTCAATAATTCTATTTCTCTGGTGTGCAATTACTAATGCTGACTTATACAGGTCTTTTTTTTTAATCACAGTTACACGTGATTTTTTTCTCCTATTTGTGCTGTTTTGGTTTTGTTGTTTTTTATGTTGTCAACACACATTGTTGGCACATTGCAGCACAGGACAGTGCATTGTGAAGACAGAGCAGGAATTTCAGTCAACATGTTAACTCTGAACCAAAGCCTGATGCCTCTTTTTGTACACAGCTGCCTTTGAATGATCACTTCTCTGAAATCTCTGTTGAATAACTTGAGACTGAAATCTCGGTATATTCTGCTTGCTAGCTCTGAACAAGAGTTTGTTAAGGGCTGCTGATTGTACCATATGCAGTGCTGGAGATGTCTGTAGCCACTAATGAGGTCACCAAGTGCGCAGTTTCATGTAACAGCTTCTTCCTCCCCTCTTCTCGATTTCTTTCCGGTCATGTAATGCTGGAGTATGTGAAACAAGCCTTCTTTGCTGCTTCATGAAATTGCTGGGTGGTGCTGCCCTGCAAATTCATTTACTGCTGGGACTGGGAGATCAGCTACTCCATGAGAAGGGTCTGTTTATGTCTTTGCTTCTTCTTCCTTAGTGACCTGTGCCTTGCTGCTGCTGCAGGACCCTAGTAACCTTCCTTCAGTGTATCTCTCTGTCTCTCTTTGTGCATCTCTCCCTATGGCTATGTCTTTTAAAAGGGGTCAGACGCCCCTGCTAGTCCCAAAACCTCTTTCTTTTTTCCTCAAACTAGGCACCATTCCCAGTTCTTCGGTTATGGAGATGGTGAGAAGTCAGAAATGCAAATACTATCCAGACTCCAACACTGATTATCATTGATGAGTGCTGTGTGAACCCTTACGCTTTTAAATGCAAATAAATATTCACATATGACATAATAGTGTGGATGTGCTTATCAGAAACCATCTTCCCAGCACCACCCCTGCAACGCATCCTCTGACTCATGGAATCTCAGCATCCGTGCTGCTGGAGCCACCCTCTATAAAAATCTTGTTCACTTTTAGAGTCAGAGGTTGCCTGACTGCAGACAGATCTCAATCTGGCAAGGGATTATTCAGCCTCATCCGCTTCCCAGGTGGATAAATAATGCATACTCTGTTTTTGTCCCCTGGAAACCTGGGTCACATTTGCAGCTCTCTGCCGGGGAAGGGCCTGGATTTAAAGGATGCAATGGTGTGCCAGGAGGTTTCATCTTGCAGTGCAACAGGAATCCAGGACTGTGGGGCAAGGCTGGAAGGCAGTTCCTTCAGGGCTGCTCTCTGCTGATACAAGTCCATTAGCTAAGACACAGGCAAGTGCCTTGTATTCTGGATTTGATTCTAGGCTGTTGCTGTCTGGCTAAATACATTTCTATGTCAAATACTTTCTGACAGAAGACTGGAATAAACCATTAAATTCTTTTTGTTCATGCATAGCAATTACAATCATGAAATATGTTGCTGTGCCAAGTGAGGCAGGCCTACAGAATGAAATCCTCTGCAAATCTACCCATTCATATGCATACCAACTCACTATTGTAGACATCTTCATGCATAAACTGTTCTTCCAGGTCAGTGTACCAAAACAATTGTTTTGATTTCTATTGATTTCAATTTCTATGCCTGACAGCTAATTCAGAAACAAAGGAGGTAAGAAACCACAGCACAAGAAACCACAGATACAAGGGACTTATGTGCACGTGTAACTTAATCTTCAAGATTTCCTACGGGATGGTCTGTAGATCTCACCATAGCAGGGTGCAACAGGCAAAATGTAGAAGTTACAGCACCCAGGTGTGACTCTTCTCTAGCAGAGATCTCTTTTCTAGGGAAGAAAGATCCTCAGAGCTCAGTCACTAAGCAGTGTGCAGGCCTGCCCAGGCTGGCATCCCTGCTGCAAGGTGGGCCCTGAGCCGGGAGCAGCTGGGCTGTGCTCAGATGGCAGCACTGATGGCCTGCGGCCATGCCTGCACCCAGCAGGAATGTGTCCAGGAATGTGTCAGTTCCGGGCTCTGCTGTCATTTCCCAAACTCCTGCAATCTGGGTTTGCTTTGAATGCCATGCTTGAATAGTTCATTCATCTGACAGGCAATGCGTTTGTTCAGCTGCAGCACAGCCGGCAGGATTGCTCAATGCTCACAGCTCTCTAGCCTTTGATGTCCTGAGAGTTTCAGGAAACGGCGTCGGCTTCCTAGAACTTGGGGAATTCCAGATTTCTGCAGGACCTTCCTTATTAAAGTTCCTGTCTTTCCTTACCCCTGTCCTCTTGGGTGACTTCGGGTTTCAGGTATGGGGCTTTTGAGGGCTCACGTCTCTGCTGTGGTTTTGGTACTGCCTGCTCCTAATGCCTGGCCAGCTACATTGCAGCTGCCTACAAGCACAACGTGCACTTGTCAGAGGACAGAGAAATGCCTGCTTCTTTTGATGAGACCTTGTTGCTGGGCAAAAATAAGAGTTCTGAGTGGAACTGCACAGTGAAAAGGAAGATACTGTCAGGGTGGCGAGTCTATTCCTTGATGTCTTGCTGAGCTGTCTGTATGAATAGCAAGATTACTTTCCTTCCTCAGAGACATACCTCATGTTGGAACATCAGAATTTTTATGAAGCATTTGGAGCTACAGTAGAAATGTGCCTTTCCAAAATATTCTGCAAAACATTGCTCTTCGTGAGGAATAAAAATTGTTTTGTATGATCAGTTTGAAATTGCTCATTGTGCAAAAACGTGCTTTTAATAAAATAGCAAAAATAAAAAATTCTATGTTAATTTATTTTCACAGAACAAGTGAATGTTTTAGCTCTAAGCAGAAAGGTGAGAACAATTTAAGGGTTAGTTTGTATTGCAGTGTGTACAGATTGTACTTCCCCATCTTATGCAATAGGAGCTTACTTCCAAAACAAGCTTGTTACAATCTTTACTCCTCCTCCTTCTATTTGCTTTATATTCCTATGCCCACACTAGTAGCAACAAGGCAGCAGCCATGCTCCCTTCCCAGATCCTGGTGTGTGCTGCAGTGCTTGCCCTGGCAGTCCTGCAGGCCCTGGCCTTGGACACCTTCATTGCAGCCGTGTATGAGCACGCCGTCATCCTGCCACGCACCATTCACAAGGTTTCTCCCGATGATGCTTTGGCCCTGATGAACAGAAACATGGATGTTCTGGAAGGAGCTATCAAGGAAGCAGCGCAGCAGGTATGAAATGGATTGTTAGTGTTGTTAATTGGTGTTTTCTGTTCCCTCTGACTGTCCCAGGGGTGCCTTGATGGTGCCTTCTTAATGGAGCCTGTTGTGCCAGGGTGCCCGCATCATTGTGACTCCCGAGGATGGCATTTATGGCTGGGTTTTCACGAGGGACACCATTTACCCCTACCTGGAGGATATTCCTGATCCAGAGGTGAACTGGATTCCCTGCACTGATCCCACAAGGTGATTCTTTCTGTGGTGTTTGTGTGGTTTCAAACTGGTGCCACATGGAGTCATGAGTTGCTCCTAATAATTGTCAGAGAAATGCTGATTTTTAAAATCTCGCAAAAATCGAGGTACTGTATAAATGTAATGCATCAGAAAGAGCCCTTATGTAAATGGTAGTTGGAACATGTAAGGTAAAAAGCATTTGAGTCTGCCTTAATTTTGAAAATTAAAAAAAGGAAGAAAATGAGGAAATTTTGGCAGCATCGTTATTTTAAGAACATGCGAAAAGCTTATCAATTCAGAGTGCTTGAGAAAATCTTCTGTTACTTCTCTTACTGTAAGCTAGTAAATTATCATGGCTTCAGCAGAGATGAAACAAGATGATTCAGAACTCAGCTCACGTGTCTGGGGTGATTTCTAAATCAAATTGCATAAAATATTTCTCTAGATCTGAAATAACTGCCTTTTTGAGATCTAACTGCTTGCACAGTCTGCTGTGGCGTACTGGGCTACTGTGAATGTCTGTCTTACAAAGGTGGAGCTGGAAAGACACAGAAGGGACCAGGGTTATCTCTAAGCCAAGCTTTTGTGTTCTTCTATTCTGGGAGTTTATTAAGGGAGATTTCAAGAGTCAAAAGGTCTGTAAAAGTTGTGACCACTCTTTCCCAATGACTTACAGCCTTAAACAGAGTGAAGAGTCTTAAAAAAAGGTCTTTTGAAGTTGAGAATTAGATTTCCCTAAAAATTAATGTTTGTTTTAAGTTTCTATCTGTATACTGGCTTATTCTCTCATTTGGTTTCTAAAATTATCCATAGCTTTGTATGTCCACAACTAGGTATCTTTATGGTCCCTTCCAACCCAAGCCATTCTCTGATTTTATAATTGTTTTTCCTTTTTGTCAAAAATCTCTTAGATTTGGTCGAGCACCAGTGCAGGAACGACTCAGCTGCATGGCCAGGAACAACTCCATCTATGTAGTTGCAAATATCGGGGACAAGAAGCCATGTAATTCCAGTGATCCCAAGTGCCCGAGTGACGGTCGCTACCAGTACAACACTGACGTTGTCTTTGACTCAGAAGGGAAACTGGTGGCTCGTTACCACAAGGTAAAGAAAAGCTTTGTCATCACACTGTAACTAACTGTCAAAATACTTTTAATCTCTAGGGCACAAATTTCAGAAGGTTTATAGAATAATTTTACATTATTATAGAATGACAGTCAGCACCAGGACAATCCAATGGAGGGCTCCTGCAGCTAGAGGAAAGAGTAGACAAGCACTTGGCAATATTTAAGAGCTATTCTCATGAACACTGTGGCTGCAGAAGGCATGCTATCAAACAGCTCAAGGCTGCATTAGCGATAGCAAACTAGAATGAAGCTGTGGTGTATTCAGTCATCATCTCATTCAGTTAGATAGTCTTTGGCATAGTTTTGAACAGGTCAGACTTTTCCCAAGTGATGTCTTGGCAGCAGGTAGCAGAAAGCCCTGGCTTGAAACTGTTGCCAGTAAGCAGCAGGAACAAGTCCGTCCTTTCTCAGTAGACCTCTGGGATGAGGATTTTACTTACTTTTGCTCCCTATCTTCACTGAGCCTTTTCAGGAGATCTCCAATGACTATGAAGGAGATGTCCAATGACATTTGAGTCAGGATGCCCACCTTGACCTGAAGGAATCTCAACTGTCAGTTTTGCTTTAATCTCAGACACTAAAGTGGCATTCTGTAATCTTGCCTTATTTTTATTTCCTAATATGTCTTTTTCTTTGCCTGCAGTACAACCTGTTTAGACAAGAAACTCAGTTTAATTACCCAAAAGAGCCAGAGTTCATCACCTTTGAGACTCCCTTTGGGAAGTTTGGCATTTTCACTTGCTTTGACATCCTTTTCCGGGAGCCCGCCGTGGTGCTGGTGAGCGAGCTACAGGTGGACACAGTGCTTTTCCCAACAGCCTGGATGAATGTCTTGCCCTTTCTGACTGCTGTGGAGTTTCACTCTGCATGGGCTATGGGCATGGGAGTCAATTTACTGTCAGCAAATACTCACAACACCATCATGTCTATGACAGGTGAGTTGCTTTTTGTAAGGAGGAATTGTCTTCTTCTACAGGATTCAGAACTGGGAAAAAATTAAAAATCATGAAGTCTCTGGAAACTAGTACGTCAAGAAGAGTAAAAATATTCTTTGTGTTGTATTGGATGGATGGCACAAACATTCAGCTAAATATTCACCCTCTTTCTTAGAAGCAGAATTTTTCTGTTTAGAACTTACTCAAAAATCAGATGGAGAAAAAAGTATTTTAAACAGAGCTAAAAACGAAAAAGGATTTCTGCTTTGTGTTGAATAAAAAAAATCAGGTTTTTGTTGCTGCTCAAGAATTAGAAATGGTATGTTTTGGCTTGAGCTGAACAGATAGCTACTGCGATTTTTTTTCTGTAAGCTGACAAAACATTTCCATAGTTGCCATTATCTGTAACTATTCTCCAAAGCAGAAATGAAAGCCACAAAGGAACATTTTTGTCTGTCCTAAGTGCACTGAATTTTATCCACAGCTTTAGGTTTCCTTCTTTGAAAAGTAATTATGCCCCGGGACACCTTCTTTGGCAAATATGTTTCTTGCAGAGCACTAATTTATATAAAAATTAATAGCTTTATAATAGTTTTAATAAAGTTTTTTTCTTCTTAAAAAGCATGACCTTGTGTGAAATTGCCTTTGGAGGCTCATATTCAAGATCCGGTGAAGCACAAAAAGGTGCTTCTCTGAATTTTAGGTCATTTTTTTTACACTGTAAAGTGTACTTTAGCGACTCTCTGCTTTAAAATTCTTTCACAATTCTGGTTAATATATTGACTGAAGACTACTTCATGTGGTATGGGAACTGCTGAGTCACGGCCTGAACCTGTGATTGATCACCTAAGGCAAGCAATGAGTCAGCCACAGGAGCACAGGTGAAGGCAATTCACCTGTGCTGCTGGAAGGGGTGGAGCCTGGCTCCATCTCTCCTAGACCCATTTAAGAGCTGACTACCAGTGGAGAAGGATCTTGTCTGGAGATCCACTCTCCTGGAGTTTTGTAAGTGAGCCCAAGATATGGGCTCCACCTATTTCTATCTATTCTCTTTTTGTAATCTGCTTTGCCAAACATTCTTGTTTATTTCGTAATTGTAACATCTTAATATTCATTGATTACACTCATGTTTACACACAGCGCGCTCATGAGGCACCCGTGGTGGTTCACCCATCAGATGGCGGTGACCCTGGGTTCCGTGTATGTTGTTTGCAGGCAGCGGGCTGTTCACACCCCACGGGCCGGCCATGTACTACTACAACAGCAAGACAAAGGAGGGACGTCTCCTGGTAGCAGAGCTGAGCGCACGACCTCGTCTTTCTCCTAACTATCCTGCTGCAGTCAACTGGAGCTCATATGCTACAAGTGTCAAAAACTATTCAGGAGAAAATAAGACCTTTTCAGGAGCTGTCCGGCGGGATATATTCACTTTCAGTGAACTTACGCACAAAGCTGGAAATCACACAGTCTGTCAAAAAGACCTCTGCTGTCATTTGACCTATAGGATGTCAAATAAAAGTAAAGATGAAGTTTATGTACTGGGCGCATTTGATGGGCTTCATGGCTCTGTCATAAAATACCACTGGCAGGTAATTTGTTCAGCAAGGATTAGTGTAACTATATGCCAAAATGAATGAAAAATTCCAAAACATTCATTTGTTTCTGCATTAGAAGTTTTCTTGCTATTAAACACAGCTCCTGAGTATGAAAGCTTACTGTATTTTACTTTTCTGTGTCCTCTTCCCCACAGATATGCACCCTGCTCAAGTGTAAGAGCACAGACCTGAGCACGTGTGGGCAGCCAGCAGAGACTGCACAGACTAAGTTTGCCATGTTCTCCCTCAGTGGCACATTCGGCACTAACTACGTCTTTCCAGAAGTCTTGTACAGTGGTGTGCAGTTGGCCCCCGGGGAATTTGAGGTAATGGCACACTCTGGAGCTGTTTGTAGATATTCATAGTCTACACAGAACAGTGATGAGAATTTGACCTGTAGAAAGTAACTAAGCAAAGCAACATTTGGCTATTAGACTTCACTTCTCTTTACTTTCACCTGAAAATGATTTAGTGGGCTACAATTTAAAACAAGCAAACAAAAAAATTGCTGCCCTGGTCAGGTATATAACCTGCATCACTACGTATGAATAACTAACGAGAACATACAAAACAGTTACTGCCCTTCTCACATTCTGAAGAGATGGAGAAATGATCTTTATTACAAAAATGGAGCTGGAGGGAGTTCTAAAGACTTTCTGGAAATGTGGAAGGGCAATTGCAGCATGACATTTTGATTGTCTGAGCTCTATTCCAGTGCCTGAAGTGCAAGAGTATTTCCGTGTGCAAGATAGAAGATTCACATTCTTTTAATTCTTGTGATTGTCTTTAAAAAGTACTGCATCAAGTTATTTGGTCTCAGAGACTTATCCTCTCTGTATCATGAAGTAGTGTTACTCTGTTATTGGATATTAGTATCATCCTTTCTCTATTCAACTAGGTACTGTCTGATGGACGTCTGCAAAGTAAGAATGGCACATCAAAACCACTCTTAACAGTGACGCTTTTTGGGAGGTGTTATGAAAAGGACCTGCCTCATCCCCTGCGAAGCTTCCTGTGATGTAACTCCCTAAATGTTAATCAGTCAGCATAGGCAGGATGAGAATTTCCCACACTGATCCATAAGCTTCTCATGATTTGTAACAGTTATCCTGTATCATTCATATCCTTCAATCTTATTCTTCTGCTTAGTAGCCGGGGCAGATGAGTTTATTTAGAAGATCAGTGGTCACTCTATTGTGGACCTAAATCAACAGTACACTACTGTACTAGTGCTTGAGCCAGTGCATTTGTTATACTCTGTCATATGAAAACTCTGATTAGAAATTATTATATTTTTCAAAAATATAACATAGGTTGCTAGAATAATCCTAGTCATAAGACTGATGCTAAGATGTGTGGAATATGAAGTTGGCCACTTTTCTGCCAAACGAATCTTCCCCAAAGAAATTTATCTGTCCCTTCTGGCTCTTCCTGTTTTTGAGACTGGAGGAGCACTAAATGTCTGCGTCTCTCAACTTTATGTGCCATTCACCAAGGCCTTCCTAATATTAAGTGGGACTCAGCCATTCTGACCAAGCTACTGTACGATGAAACAAAAAACAGATTTGAAATGGTTTTAGGTGCAATCTCCATGCAGTTTTTCATGATCCACACAGACAGCGAGTCTGCTCCATAAAGAACCTTCAATTCTACGGTCCTGCACTGCTTTGCATGTGTGGCATACAAATGCTAGGTCCAATGCATTTCAGATCACACTTACCTTATAAGTAGTACATCAAAACATTCCTCTGGATATTTGGAAAATTTCTTCAAAACTGTGAAAATGTAGGAAATGGCAATGTTTTAACCATACACGTTGTGTAAGAAATGTGCATTATCTGGGACTTCTAGTGATGGCACATGAAACTTGGTAGCCCTGGGCTGGCTTGTATCTACCATGTTTTGCAGCAAACAGGCCTTGTTTGATTAGTGTGATCCCTGCTTTAACATTAATCCCACAGTCTTTTACATGTATTGTTCTTCACATCCCTGGCATGCAGCATGCACCGTGTTTAGCGTCCATTTGCCCTAAATATGGCACATAAACACTCCATGGCTTCCCACCTCAAGCTCACCAACATTCATTATCCAAAATTTTTTTTAACCATATGAGTCCTGTTTTCTTTGTGCTGTTGCTTCTCAGTATCCAGGTTTGGAGACTTCTTTGAGGCTTTGTTTCATCCTGGAAAGAAAACAACTGAGCTTATAACCAGAGGAGGGGCCATGCAATATGGGAGCAGTTATTCAAACATGCAGGACCTCAAGGTTGTGCTTTCCAGCAGCTCGTCCAGCACCTCACCCTTTTCTTGCCTGACTTGTGGTTGTAACCTGGAACAGCCATCAAACAAATCTTAGTCAAGAGAGAGTCAACCGGAGTCAACTGTCAGGCTCGTATAATGAAAAGAAGAGCAGCCAAGAGCAGCATGTGAATGTAATTTGAGTTTTGCTTTTCTTTCCACAGTCAAATCTCTTGATTAAAGCCTGTTTTTTTCAGTGGTTGGTATCAATAGGATTACTTTTTCTTTTCCCATCCTTCCCCTTCCACACACACAAAGGAAGAATCTGGGGTCATTTTAGGGATTATCAGTGTCATTCTCAAAAGAGAAGTCACTTTACTGGTTGCTGGTTCTCTAAATCCTGAGAATTTTGTGCACTCCAAATGGACACGGAATTGATAAAAATCTTTCTAAAGCTGGAGAGGAATACAGACAGGATTGAACAAACGGTAGACATTCAGCTTATTATTTATTACCAGGCTTATCTTTCTCACGGCAGGTTTGTCTAGACCCTGTGGAAAGTAAAGTGCCTGCTGTTATTTCAGCAGGCATTATTTGTTGAGCAAAAATAACAAAATGAAATTTTGGCCTACATCCTTGCTATTTTACTTAGATGTTTTTTAGGATATACTCTCCAGTCCTTGTTGGAGATTGTCCTGAGTTCTCTATATAGCATTTAGTTCTGCTTTATCTAATTGTTGATATCTAACGCCTGTCTCTCCTACTTTCAGTTTGTCTGCACTAAGAGCCAAATATCTTAAACTAATGAACTTTTCACTGAGGTCTGGTAAGGACAAATGGGGACAGTGAAGTTACTATATTACTAGTAAAATCAATGTTGGTACATCAGTTCACGTCTGCTGATCATGCGCCTGCGGAGTCAGAGACTTCCTGCATTTAATTTTGATTTCAGCTAGTTTTAATTTTTTTTAGGTTTTTTTTTAGTTTTTTTTTTAGTTTTTTTGATTTCAGATAGTTGAGCTCTCTTCTCAGTTCATGCTTCAAGGTAACCCTCACATCACCTGACTGGGTCTGGCCAAGGTTGGAGGTTCTGGTTTCTAACCAGGGCATTTCTTATAAATAATAGTTCATAAAGCTCCATATAGTTCAAGTAGCACTTCGGCACCTCTCTCAGACATGAGGTTTGAATTTTGGATGGTTATATCCAGAGCCAGGGGTTGGGCTCAATGATCATTGTGTGTTTCTCAGAATATTTCTGAGATTTCAACTTGTGAAAGCTCTTTATAATTCATTCACTGAAACTTACAGTTTGAAAAAATAATTGTGTGTCCGAGCAGAAATCACACGTTTGACACTGTGATATAAAATGGAATAGCAAGCTGTTGAAGTCTAGCCATTAATGGATGATGATGTACTTCCTGGTAGCCAGCCTGAAAGATAGAAAGCTTTGGCAGGTGAAAGTACATGTGTGGTGCCTTTCATAACAGATGTCATTTAGCTGTACCTCGAGAGTATCAGATGGCTTTATTTATAAGAGCTGGAGTTATAAACAAATAAAAAGCTTCAGTCTGATCATTCATATTGGTAAGCAACAGGCTTAAAAATTCATTTTGCTGAAGACTTCCTGATCTTTAATGTTACATTAGACATTTTGAATTCTTAATTCACGTTAACATTAGCCTCTGCTTGAAGGGATTCTTCCAAGTTCAGCATTAGACTAAATGAAAAGTAGACATGCAAACTCTCTCAGTTGGGTTTCCTACAACACTTACTGATTGTAATTACACTTGGGTTTTACCAAGGGATTTTTACAGTGCCAGTTGTTTTCTGCTGAGTATTTTCTTATACGCCATTGCTCTTCTTTCACTAAGGCTGCAAACCATAACTCTACTTGATTTTCTAATTCTTAGCATTAGATGGTATCTTGATATCAAATGAACATTTGCCATAGTAGCACTTCGATAAACAAAGGAGTAAAGTCTATCCTCTCATGTAGAATAGGAGATGAAGTGCAAATAAACTGATGCCAGAATATTTCATATTACAAAAAATACTTTATATATTCAAAGCATCATTATCACTGGTTGCAGCTCTAATTGCTGGCTACTTATAAAAATCAGCTCCTCTCATGCACCCAGAAAATGAGAAAGATGTTTAGTGAAACTTCAGAAAAACTGGTATGGATTAACCTACCTAAAAACATATATAGACGCAGTAGAATTACCACATGGATAGAGAATGTTAGAAAGAATGGACAGGAGAAAAGGGACTTTCACAAAGCTCCAATTTGGGCATTAGTTCATGTAAACACCCAGGACAGCAAGGTTTACAGGGTTCAGAAATGAGAAACAGTAAAGACAGTAAAGACTGCAGTTCAGAACAAAATGGCCTACAGGGGAAGAAAGAAAGGAAGAAAGCTCTTCTAGTGAAAAGTCACACTGCCTCGGTTTGTCTTCCTGAGATGAGGCAGCAAATGGTGTATGTGAAAAGGTGCAGGCTTTGACTGGTAGTTTCTGTACAGGCTGAACTGCTGTACCTGCAGTGTCACTTTACTCATGCACAGTGCAGCTACTTCCTGCAGCAGCAAGCAATTGTTGAAGCAGAATAATAGAATAATTTTAGTTGGAAGTAACCTTTAAAGATCATCCGATCCAACATCCCTGCAATGAACGGAGACACCTACAGCTAGATCAGGGTGCTCGGAGTCCCTCCATGCTGACCTTGAGTCTCTCCAGGGATGAGGCATCCACCACCTCTCTGGGTAACCTGTTCTGTTGCCTCACCACCCTTACTGTAAAAAACTTTCTCCAAAATAAATCTCTCTTCCTTTAATTTGAAACCATTTCCCCTTGTCCTTTCACAACAGACTTTGCTAAAGAGCCTGTCCCCTTCTTTCTTACAGCCCCCTTTCTTACTTGGTCTCCCTGGAGCCTTCTCCAGATTGAACAGCCCCAACTCTCTCAGCCTGTTCTCATAGGAGAGTTTTCCATCCCTCAGATCATCTTTGCAGCCCTCTTCTGGATGCGCCCCAACAGGTCTGGGTCTCTCCTGAGTGGGGGACTCCACATCTGGATGCAGTACTCCGGGTGAGGCCTCACCAGCACAGAGTAGAGGAGCAGGATCACCTCTCTCACCCTGCTGGCCATGCTTTTTTTGATACAGCCCAGGAGGTGGTTGGCTTTCTGGGCTACAAGGGCACTTTGCTGGTTCATGTCCAACTTCCCATCCACCAGTAAAAATAGCCTACAGTACAATGCGGACTTTTGGGCTTGCACCTGGGCAATTAGAAATATTCAAATTTACTTATTGTTTCTAGGCAAATAGCATGCACCAAACATAGTCAAATCCATTTGAGAAAAGGCAACAGAAGCTTCTGTGTGAGAACAGAAGCTGCACTTGATTTGCTTATTGATGTGTATGCCTTTGTGGGCGATTTTATTTTTTAGTGGCTTTCAGTAGAGCAGCCACCGTCAGACCAGAAGGTGTGAATTTTCCCCTCTGTTCAGCCTCATGTCCTCTCTGCTGCTTTGCCAGTCCCACACTCCCCTTCCTCCTAACACAAACGAGCACACAAATTTTGTGACCTGAGCTGTGCATGTCCTGCTTGGGACTCAGAGAAACCTCAGAGGAGCAGGAGCTGACTTTCCATCAGTGCAACTCACTAGCTGACACATGGAAACTAGCCCAAAATGTGTCCTCTCTCTTGGAATTACTTCTTACTGGTAGGACTCTCTCCTTGGACTCCTCAGCAATACTGAAAACCTTGCTGTTAGAAGATGCAGGTGCTTGTAAACGAGCTTTAAAAATGAACAAGTTGTGATTTGATCACTGATGATTTATAATTTGTCCATGCTTAGGTATAGATCCTCTGGGATGGCAAAAGAGGTACAAATAGCCAATCAACATTTATTAAGTCTCTGCTACAAAGCATACTGAAACCAGATCACATAAATACAGGATAAACAGAAGTTTTCAATCAGGAAGAAACAGCATCTTTTTTTGCATGTCTTGTTCTCAGATACTCTTGAAGTATCAAAACTGAATTTTTTTGAAAATACCCAGTCTGCGATAGACATGTCACATTTTCCAAGATAACACCAATTGCTAAAGTTTGACAAAGTTTAACAAAATTGAAAGTAGGGCCCTGAAATGGAAAACGTCAGACTACCATAGTGACAGTTTAGTGCTATTAATCTAGACTTTGAACATAATAAACACTTTTTGTTTTGTTTTGTTTTTTTTAAATGCATCTTTACATGAGCCTGACTTTAACTTAATTCAGATGCATTCATCTTTGCATGTGCAACTGGCTTGTGATAGACACTGCTTGCTTGTCTTTTCTGAATAGCAAATATCTACGTCATTCTCTAGATGAGATTTTCCCATCAGGCTGTAATCCAGAGGCAGACCAAACCAGACAGCTGACAAGCCGTTGGCTCTGCATGGGATGAGTCACTATTGTGCTGTATCTGCAGGCTGTGCCAGTTTGTCATGAGGAAGTAGCTCCTGAGCAGGTACAGCCTCTGTATCTCACCTTCTCATTTACAGGGAGCTGCTAACTTGCTAGATTAGGAATTCGATTTGTTTCGAAGATGAATTTTCCATGGTGAGCACTTACAATAGCAGTTATCCTGTGTTCATTCTGTACAATCAGATTTTGGCGATGGCTCAGAGGATCATTTAAAAAGCTGCTCATTCTCAACACCAGAACAAACAACACAGCTAGGGGACAAAATTCTCTTCAGTCACAACTATGAATTCAGAGCAAAGCTGTGGAGCTGTTCCAAGGCCATGGTGACGTAGAGTGGTCAGGCTGGATCCTGTGTGCTTCCTACCTCCCTCCTCCATTTGCCTTTGCACTGGAGGTGGTGTTTGGAGGCCACCTACAAATTGGCCATGGTCATGAGTTCACTCTTGTGCGACTGCTGGGTGCACAGAGATGGCAAAGAGGCACAGAGAGCCTGCTTCACTCATACACCGTGGCTCAGGGAATTCACTGGCCCTTCTGGGGAGAGTCCTACTGCTGCAGTCGGTGGGAGCAGTGTCTGCTAATAGCAAGGCTATGGAGTATTTACAATCCTCCTTGTGCAGAAGGTTTCTTTGTTTTAGTTGAATGTGTTTTGCTTTGTTGCAGAAAGATTTTTGTCTTACTGGACTCTCTCCTGTGTGCATCTCAGAGACTTGCATTTATATTGTTTTGGGGGTTAATCCTAAAAACTGCATTTTAGGAAAGTGCATGAATGTCACATTTCTCTGTATAAACAGCTGTTGGCAAGGAATAATGATGCTTTGGTTATACATTGTGGAAATATATCTAGAGGTTAATCAACTCATCCGCTCTCGGTGGAATTACATCAGGTTTACAGCAATAGCATTCAGTTCAGTAGTTGGTACATCTTTTCATTTAAACCAGCTTGTGAAATACTTGTTTTGAATTGATGACTCACTGGGAATTTGTGCATATTTCAAACATAGAAATGGAAACATAAGAAAAAACCTTTTTTTTTTTTTTTCCCCTGAGAACTTCGTAAATGACAAGTGAAGTTGAATACTTCCAAAAATTCTCTTCAGCCACGAAGACACCTTATAGCCTCAAACAGTTGGTTTTCCTAGCATGGCTATCCTTAGAGAGACCCAGTTTTTAAAATGAGCCGTATGGAAGTGAGAAACTTTTTTCTGTCTAGGTAGTAAATCAAAACCAAAAGGAGCAGAGTTGCTCAGAGCATAGATGAGCCTTCCAGCCTGTCTGCTCTGGTTGTGATGGCACTGGGATGCTGGAGGATGAAGGAGTTTGGCTGATTGATGCCAGGTAGCTGCTTCTGAAATCTGAGTTGCTTTTCCAGATCGCAGTGTGCTTTTTTTTTTTTTTTTTAGTTGGTGAACTCTTTCTGTAGCAAGCAAACTCTTAAACTATAACGCTGTAGTCCTCAAGGAAAATAAAGGAAGTTGTTTGCATTCGTTTGGATTTTTGTGGACATAATATAATGAAGCAGCTAAACAACTTCATGGAGTACGGTTAGCAAGTTGGAATCTTAAACTATGTTGTTGTGTATCTCCCTGAGGCACCCAGCGTGAGTGGGCTTTAGCTAATGCTCACCACATTACCAGTTTTTGATGTAACAGCCCTGTTTCGAAGGACTGCGTGGTCCTTTGTGGAGCGTGAAGTTAATGACCCTCATCAGTGACTCCAGTTCAATCAATATGAGTTTACTTTCGACACCTTTTTACTAGCTGTATTTTGCAAATAGCTGTTAAATGATTAGGCTGTCGGATTAAACCTGTTTGCTCAGTAGTGTAAGCAGAACTAGGCTGACAAATGCACGTCATGGCAATCGGTGTGCGGTATCTTTTCAGTGTAATGTTACATGCTGCTTTAAACCACCTGTATATATTTGCTATATTTTAGGAACTTACAGAAGAGAGATTACATGATGATTTTTGTTTAATTTTGTTTTTGGTTAATCTTGAGCTGCTCACAAAATGATCACAGTGCTTAATTAAGCAAGTAAATATATTCCACATGAATTCAATGTGTCTGTAAATAAGGCCTGTTAAACAAAGACAACTAGATGACAAAATAAATAGAGCTTCTGTTCATATTGAAACAGAGGGCCAAGAAATCTGTTCATTGCACATAATAACACAATAGTTATCAAGCAATATGCTGGGGACCCTGGAGGCTGCTCTGGATTGAGTGCCAGTCCTCTTAAATTCATGCTATCCAGAGTAGTTATGATGACGAAGAGGCTCAGCTGTGTTTTGAGGTCGTCTTTAAAAGAAAAGGGTGGCACTGACTGAGCAGAGAACAAATGAGCACCAGGAGCAGACTTCTATTCAGTGTCAGGAGATAAAGGTAGGAGGGCAGGTTTTTGAAAGTATGCTTTTTCCAATTTTCATTTTATTGAATTTTAAACCAATACTTGTAATTAAGGACAGTGTTCTAATTTCTTGTTGAAAACTTCTTCAATATTCAGCTTAATTGGACAGTTTGTTGTAGGAGTTTTGATTTATGTTGTTTCTCTTTCCATGCAAAGCCACACATTCAATCTCAATTTGCTTTTTATTTAATTTTTTTCTTGGAATTTATTCTTGCTGTTCAAGAGCAACAGAAAAATTCCCTGAAAATAAGGTGTGTTTTTTTTTTTTTTTTTTTAAAGATATATGGTTTCCAGGAGATCTCATATACCTTTATGTATGTAGTATATATATACTATATAGTAGCATTGTCAGAGAACATACACATATACAGAGAGTAACATTGTCAGAGAACAGAAATAAAATTATTCATCTTTCAAACAGAAAAGGAAACAAGAGAGCACCTTAATTCTCTCTGATTGGCCTTATATTTTTTTTTACTATACTTAATTTCCTTACCCATAAAACAGATGAAGATCAAAATGTATGTTTATACAAAATAAACACAGGCAGCAAAGCCCCAGAGCAAATGAGTTATATTAGTGATGCCTGAATTGCTGTACTTTTCAGACTTAAAAGATTATGTTATATTGTAATGCTAATGCTACTGAACATAATAGGACAATATTCTTTATTTTTCGTGATAACAAAATTTTTCTCTTAATTAAAGGAAAATGATGATGAACGTTGCTTGCTATGTGCTAGAGTACTTTCATGAAATGCTTTTGCAAAAAAATAGCCTTGCAAAACAGATGAGTTATTATACACACAAAAGGACAGCAATATTTGCACCCCAAAGATGCCAACAGTATTAACACAGCAGTTACACGTACTGATGCTAAATGTATTTAAGAAATCTTTAGATATTTAGATGTGGGGAAATATTGGTGGTAAGTGGATGATAGGCTGGATGATCATGGAGGTCTTTTCCTACCTTGGTGATTCTATGATTCTAAACTACTACCACTGAAATAAACCAGAGCCTGACAGTAGCGATGTTTGCTTAAATAGCAGCTAATGCTTCAGATTAGTCAGGCTATTCAATTACATTTTAGCAGTACAAGGTCAGAAAACTTCATTTCTCCACTCAGATTTCTTTCCTTACATGCCTCCTTACAGCTCAATCATACAAGATTTTACAGAATGATTTGATCTGGCCAGGCAGTGCCATGTGTCTGAAAACCAGGGGCTCAAGGAAACATTTTGGCTTTGCCAGGTGAACAGCAGGTCCAGCTGCCTCTGTGAGGACAGGGCTGGAGTGCTATTCTGGTGTGGAGATCCCCAGTTATGTAGTTTATTTTATCAAATGAGATGCATGCTTCAAGGGAAGTCTAGTGAAAAAAACTAATTCTGTTAGAAGTTCATTTACAAAATAATTTAATCCCTCGTAAAGTAAGAAATGTGATTTTTGTTTGCATTCAACTAGTTGAAGGTGTTTATGATGGTCTCTTTATTTCTTCTTGCAGCTTCCTTCACAACAAAAAGAGGAAACAGCTGTAAGTGCACTTCAGCACTAGGGCAAATCTATACCACATAGCAGCGTGCATTTGATCCCTCAGTAAGGATGCAGCTGTGCTGTGAATCTGTAAATGGCTCCTGTGTGAAGAGCAATTGGTCAAACAGTGTCCGTATTTCCATGTATATCTTCATGATTTGCATTATTCTGACCACAGTGATTGGAAATCTAATGGTTATCATCTCAATATCACATTTTAAGCAGCTCCACACGCCTACCAACTTCCTGATAATTTCCCTGGCTACAGCTGACTTTTTGCTGGGATTCCTCATCATGCCTTGCAGCATGGTACGCTCTGTTGAGCACTGCTGGTATTTTGGGGACTTCTTCTGCAAGATCCACACAAGCACGGACATTATGCTGAGCACGACTTCCATCTTCCATCTTTCCTTCATATCAATTGATCGTTACTATGCTGTGTGTGACCCTCTCAGGTACAAATCAAAGATAAATGCTTTTGTTATCCTGGTCATGATATTGGTAAGTTGGACCGTCCCTGCTGCTTTTGCTTTTGGGATGATCTTTCTAGAGTTAAATTTGCTAGGGGCAAAAGAGATTTATAATCACATCCATTGTGCAGGAGAGTGCTTGGTCTTCTTTAGTGAAACTTCAGGTGTCATCACTTCCATAGTGTCTTTTTACATCCCTGGATTAGTTATGCTGTTCATCTACAGGAAGATATACTCTATAGCCAAAAGGCAAGCAAGATCCATTGATGCAGTTAGCAAAAGAAAGAAAAGATATGAAACGAAGCACATTTCATTCTGCAGAGAAAGAAAAGCTGCAAAGACATTATGCATAATAGTGGGAGTATTTCTCATATGCTGGAGCCCATTCTTCTTCTTTACAGCAACTGACCCATTTATGAATTATGCAGCACCTCCTATTCTCATTGACGCTTTGGTTTGGTTTGGTTATTTAAATTCTGCATTTAATCCCATTGTTTATGCATTTTTTTACCTGTGGTTTCGCAGGGCGTTAAAGACTATTCTGTTTGGAAATATTTTTCAACAGGACTTATCAAGGACTCAGTTATTTTTAGAGTAACATCCTTTACATGGCTGGCTTCATAGCATTGAGATTTGCCTGCAACTCCAGGAGGCAGGAGCTGAAAATGGCAGAAAAAACACCTGTTCGTTTGCTCACTTATCAGATTTGGTTTGAGCATATAAGTGACTATTTTGTTTGTCTCCTTTCATTCTAGACTGGGAATTGTAGGTATGCAGTGTTTTGATTTTAGCTATTCATATGACATATATGGAGCAATTTATTAACTGCTTTTCTTCATTAGGAAGTGATTCCTAAACAACAGATGTAAAAAACAAAACAAAACAACTGTGTATTTGCCATCCTCTAGAACTAACAGAAAAGCCTTTTCTCTTGAATTTTTAGATGCCCTTGAGTAAAATCCCAAAGATTTTATGTTTTTTCCCCTCCCCTGCAGTATGAGTGCAGAAGTCAGAATATCCTAATGCACAGCCATGTCAGTACACTCCAAGGAGGGAGGATGCGACAAGGAGAAGCCACGGTGTTCCTTCTCTTTACATTTCAATTGGTGCTTCTCACTTTTGTGTTTGTCACTTACAGGCTTTGCCACTTAATGAAGACAAAAGCATTTTTAATGAAATCTAAGATATGGAAAACATGTCATAAGAAATGAAAAGCACTTGTGAAAAGCAATTCTGAATCTGACGTTGCCTGAAAATGATACTTTCATAATGAAAATTCGATGTAAAATATGCTCACATTTGCCTCTTTCAACACTTTTTTTTTTGGCTTGAGCATATTGTTATTTTGTCTGATAGCAATGCTGTGACAGCCAGAGAAGAATCTGTATACTGAACTTTTACAGAACTGTTACATCTGGCCCAAATATAGGGTGAGTGGGACAGGGTGGATGTGGGAGCACTATGAGGAGTGGCAGAAAGGCCATAGAAATGGCTTGGGGTGATGATGCCTGGGTTGGCAGGCTCTCAAGATTACATCTACGTGTGGCTTCTCTGGACATCCACCAACCACATCAGGATTCAAAGGACAGACAAATAAGTCAAAAACTAAAACATAGTCACCAGCTGAAGAAGGCCCACAGGCTGTAATTTTCTCTGACTTTTTTTTGCCTATGACCTGGCTTTGCTAGAATTAATGTATCACCAAACAGAAGGAAATAACACTTCTGGCCTGATCCTGTGACATCTGGTTGGAGCATGGACTAATTCTGGAAATGGACAGTAAAAGATTAGTACCTAAAAATGCTATGCTGAAATTGATGCTTTGATGTTGAAGTAAGAGCTATGCTCAGCTGTAAATGTTGTCCTCCATTCGTGTTGCTGGGGTAAGCACACATTCTATGTGTTATCTTCTTTTTTTGTGCTCTCAGAGCACTGATGCACTCTGCACTGTAGAGCACAAGAGTTCAGTGATACTATATTCCAGCAGAGCAAAAAAACCCCAAAACAACAGGATCTGAGACTCCTTTACAGTGTCATTGTGTAAGTTAGCACACTCCAAAATGACAAAAAAAAAAAAAAAAAAAAAGAAGAACAATGACTGAAATATGCAACACATCAGCTTTGTACTGTGGAAGATAATTCTTAATTGTGACAAAATGACTACTTTAATACTTTATCTCAGAGAAATAAAGTAATTTGAGATTTAAAAAAATCTACCTTTCCAATAAATGAATGCATAATTCCCTTTCTCTTCATCCCATTGAGGTCAGCCTGATACAGTTCATTTTCTTATGTTTCATGTTGCTTTCTGAAGTGAACTATGTGATCATTCGGATATATTGATCTCCCTTGAAATGGCAGCTTCAAAACTGCTGCCAGGTGATATCTTCTTTCTTCTGGTACTGTTATAGATTGAATCACAGAATGGCTTTGGTTGGAAGGGACACCAAGGATCACCAATTTCCAAACCCGTTGCCACAGGCAGGGCCACCAACCTCCAGATCTGGTACTAGATCAGGTTGCCCAGGGCCCCATCCAACCTAGTCTTGAATAGCTCCAAGGATGGAGCATCCACAGCCTCTATGGGCAGCCTGTTCCAGCATCTCACCACTCTCTGTGAAGAGCTTCCCCCTGATACCCAATCTAAACTTTCCCTCGTTGAGCTTAAAAACTTTCCTGCTTGTTCTATTACTATCTACCTGAGTAAGAAGTTGATTCCTCTCCTTTTATAATCCCCTTTTAAATAATGGAAGGTTGCAATGAGATCTCTTCACAAATTTCTCCAGGCTGAACTAGCCCAGCTTCATCAGCCTGTCTTCTTAGGGAAGGTGCTCCAGCCCTCTGATCACCTTAGTGGCCCTCCTCTGGACCCTCTCCAACAGCTCCACATCTTATTGTACGGGGAGCCCCAGACCTGGACACAGTACTCCAGATGGGGCCTCACAAGGGCAGCATAGAGAGGGACAATCACCTCCCTGTCCCTGCTGGCCACCCCTCTTCTGATGCAGCCCAGGATACCATTTGCTTTCCGAGCTGCAAGAGCGCACTGCTGGCTCACATTCAGTTTTTCATCCACCAGAATCCTTAGATCCTTCTCTACAGGGCTCTGCAGGTAAGTGGTGTTTCCATATGAGGAATGTTGACCATCTGAGAGTTTCTAGGTATATTTAATAAATTCAGCATATGTCACTGTAGTCCCTTCAAGAAGCAAAAGGAGACATGGCCTCTTCCCCTTCATCCACTGTATAAAAACTTCAAGAATGTGTGGCAACATCAGCGACAGCATTCTATTTGCAACTCTTAAAAATGTGCACACAGACCACAGTTTGAACCTTTCTTCATCTTTTCCTTTTATGCCATGTTCTAATTTGTTCTTTCCTCTTATTTATGTGTAGGGGGTTGTTGTAAATTGCAATTTTGTAATAGGTTTATAAACAACCTCTGCCTAAGGCAATTGAAATCTTACCCCTCTGGGTCTTTAACTGTAAAAGTATGATCCCATCTGTTTATCTTGCTTTTTGCTGGTGATCATCGGCTTCTACATGACTGTCCCACACTCATGAAGGCTGATGGTAATCTAAGCTAAATTTAGACATCTCAAAAGCAGTACTTTTATCTACTTTAGTCATTTGCATTTCTTTTTATGCTCACTGTAGAAAAACTGTTACCTTCAAGGGTGTTTTATCTCACCACCTTATCCATTTTTAGGTGAGAAGAATTGCCACTGTAAATGCTCCTTTTCTTACTACCATGAAGGATCTTCTAATCTCTAGCACAAAGTTTTAGGCAATTTCAGATACAGTTTTTAGGTAGATTAGATGAAGGTTACTTGGCATAGATGTATCTCACACTATGGAAAAGTGGGTATGTTCTTGGGACACCAAAAAAACTGCATCGAGGCCAGTTTTCTGAAACTAACAGTTAGACAAATTCTAAGGACCAACTCTTGACTAGCAAGAACCCTGAAATGAGTCTTTGGATCAAGGCAGTGGTCCATAGAGCTAGTAGTTGAGGTTTGCCTGAGTAGCTACAAGTGGGAGAAGGTGGTGGAACAGGTGGATTGTTGAGTCCCAGAGGCATACACGAAGTTCCCTGAGGTCTTGCCCTGGAGCACACTGAAAGTGAAGCAGGTCACAAACTGTGAGCAGCTAGTAGGTAATCTTGACTTACTGGAGAGTGCAGAAAAAGAGACCTTCGCTTAGGATCACCTTAGCCATCCCATGAACACTGCAGAAGATCATAAAACATCATGGCTGCACAGAACCACCACAGCCAAGTTACGGAAATGGTGGAAGAATTTTTCACTGTGCAAACCAACAGTTCTCCTAAAAGCTAGTCTGGCCAAGATGTCACCAACGCTAATAAATTGCAAAAGTAAGGGATTTCCACTCTCTGATGACCTCCATCCATATCTAGAAGTCACTTCTCTTCATACTTGACCTATAAGTCAATTTTGTGCACAACCCACCTCAGAAAGTTTCAGAAATAACATTTTTTTCCTCTGGTATTCTGTTACCCAAAGGTGTCACTTTCCCAAAGTGCCTCCTTGCCTTCTGTTTACAGAGTGTCTTCTTTGACAGAGCAACTTTAATGAAGTCCCACGTTACTTTCTCTCGTTAGCTCTAATCACAGGTAGCACAAAGTTATTTCTCAGGGTGAAAGGGACAAACAAGTGAGAGGTTTTAATGAGACCATGGGTCTCTATTCAAACCTGAGTTTTTAATAAATTAGAAGAGCAGAAAAAAATACCTCTTGCTGGTGTCCAATCATTATCAGTTAGCTTTAGTGATGTAGAAGGTACCTGATTACAAGGTGACATCATGTAAATGAAGTGCAAAGGGTCTTGTTAAACTACTTATCAACACATTTAATTAGTGACCTTATTAAACACTTCCCAGATGTCTACTTTTTCTGAAGCAAATGAATCTCCAGTGAGTGATTTCATATGTTTTAACTTCCCTGAAAACTTCTGCAAAGCAATTATTTCAACATTATGAACAGTTCTTTTTTGTTGGTAAACCCAAGTCTATTTGTTTTGCCACCAGTGAAAATAGTTTTCAATGCCACCTCCTCTCATGCTTTGAACAGAAGTGACAGGTTTCTTGCAGTAAGTCCAGGACACAGAGTCACCTGTTGCCTCTGTCTTGGTAGCTGTAGCTTGTGTTTTGGTTGTTTTGACACACTATTGCAGCCTGTGAATGGCAACCTGATTTGGCCCAATGCACAGTGGTCCCACCTCCAGCTGAGCCTCATGGCCTGCCCCTTGGTCACCAGAAGTGGCACAGGGAAAAAAGATGAGCACTGGCTATCCAAGCAGAATCCTTCCAGAAACCTCATAATGCAAGTATCACTCCAAAATGGAGCATTCTTACCAGCTGGATGAAAAAGTGTATTAGTGCAGTTCTCAAACAGAAAAAAATAAGCTCTCAAACTGTGTAAATTCCACAAAGTGTATGGCTTTCCCTAGATCATTAACTCATCCAGGCTGGACACAATGTACTCTCTTGTACATTGCATAAATACTCATTCAACACAGATGAGAAGAACATAAATGCTACATACAGTCAAATGCAAGATACTTAGTGTTCCACAAAAGGCTTTTTCTTGAACATTTTTTTCTGATCATCTTAGTTATCTACAGTCTTCAGTGTAACTGCATCATCCAGTGACCTAATACAGAAAAAGACTATGCCTAGCTCTAATCTCCTTTTTGAGTAAGTTTTTTTTCCACTAGGCATGGCTCAAATTTGATAAACATCTGTGATGTGAAATGACTGACTTGGTAGTCAGTCTAATGGGATACAGTGCCAAGACTGTACTCAAGTCAAGGCAGACAATATATACTACTATCTACCAAGTCAGATAGCAGTATATATTGTCTGCCTTGACTTGAGTACAGTCTTACAGCACTGTATCCCATTAGTTCTTCTATATAAATACAAGCTGCTGAGATATGGACTGGATAAACATAGTTGATTGAAAGAACAGATTGAATATTGAGAGAATGGCCAAGGGGTTGGATGGTGATCAGTGGCTCAAAGTCTAAGCAGGAGTCAGGGTTTGTTTCACATGTTCATTAGTGATCTGGATTAGGGAGTTCTCTCAGCAAGTTCACAAATGATACCAAATTGTGAAGAGTGGCTGATAGAAGAGAGGTAATGTTGCAACCCAGAGTGGCACCTGGAGTACTGGGTCCATTTCTCTAATCCTCTGTACAAGAAAGGCATGAACAGAGTGAATACAGTCCAATGAAGGGTCACGATGATTAAGGAACTGGAAAATGAGACAATAAGCACAAACTGAAACACAGTGTGTTCCATCTGAACATCAGGAAACACCTTTTAACTGTGAGGGTGACCAAGAAAAGACACGTTGTCCAGAAGATTGTGGAGAACATTTATTATAAATATCTTAATGCCTGGAGATATATAAAGGCCATTTAAGCACAGCTCTGGTCAACCATCTCTAGATAGCACTGCTTGAGCAGGACAGCTGGACACGGTGACCTTCAGAAGTTCCTTCCAATGTCAATTATTCTGGGATCCTGTTATTTTATGAAATTTAATTCCTATCATACTTACTAAGTCTTGCATAGTGTTATTTAGCCTCGTTAAATTAATTATTTCCAACTAAATTCAATTTCCTTCTTTTCCTTTAAGTTTGTTTAAAACATTTTTTGTTCTTCATGATCTTCATAACCTTCACTTTAAATCAAATGTTGTGCTTAGATAATTGAAAATATTTATGTGATGCATGCACTAGCCTTTGTAAAACAAATTAATTTCCTAAGAGATCAGATTTGCAAGCAACTTAGGCAATCAGAACTCCATAATCCACTCTAGATATCTGGACTTTTTATTTCTCATAGATATAAGAGAAGTTATTCTCCTTAAGCATCAAGTAGCCACGGCACTAACTAAGTTAAGGAGAGAGAACTGAAAAACAGAGTGTACCTTATACTCTGTACTTTCTCAGTTACCAACAGGAGAAAGCAGTCATTTGAGAAAATTTGAGATGATATTTTATGCTTCTTTGTTGTGATTTCCACTTCACTGAAGTCATCTCAGGGTAATAAGAGAGGTCCGTCTTCACAGTGCTTTACTGGAACCAATCAGTATTTCAGAGCATCAAGGAAATAACAAAGTGCAAGATGAAGCAAAACGTAGGCAAGAA